GCCAGCGCCACTCGCCGCTCAGCTCGCCCATGCCGGAGATTTCCTGCAGCAGCTCCTTCTCGCGCTGTATCCAAATGGAGAGCAGCTGCTGCGGCACCGCGCAGCACAGACGCGACTCCAGCAACGTCTCCAGCACACTGATGTCCGCGCCCAGCGACGAGTGCAGACGATACGAGTGCTGGCAGGGATTGACGCAAACGCGCCCCACTCCGCACTGCTGGGGCACAAACAGGCGCACGCCCAGCTTCGGTGGCAGCGACTGAGTACGCCGATGTCCTAAAGCAGAGTAAAACTTGAGAAAACATCTGCCGGATCCATTAAATACTAACTCACCCTTTTGCCGCGTGGTTTTGCTGCTGCTGCTGCTATCCGTGGCCGGCTGAAAGAACTGTGTGCTGGAGCGCGGCGGCGTTGGCTGCGTCAGTCCATTCGTTGTCCTTTCCGGGCCGCTGGCCGGGTTCAATTCGTTGGCAGCCTCCGGCGCCCAGGAGGCAAGCGTTATGAAGCCGCATTCACCGCGCGGCGAGCTCAACGGCAAGCGCAGCCGGGTCGCATCCTGTATAACGCCCAGCGCCACCTCGGCATGGCCCAGGGGCAGCGAGGTCAGCGAGACGCGCTCCCGCACATCGTGCACGCTGAACCGCAGGCGTGTGGATGCCTTGAAGCCGGCGCTGCGCAGGAAGCGCATGGTGCACAAAAAATTCGGTGCACGTTCCCGCTCCAGCAGCTCGGTGCGCGCGTGCTGCCGCCAGAGGCAATCCTCGCCAGGCTGCAGCACCGAGCAGATGACACGCGGATTGGGCGGTCTTCCGAAGCTGTCCAACGGCAGATTATCACAGGAGATTGCCGTCTCGCAGATGGGCAGCTCGGAGAGCTCCAGATCTGCAACACGAACAGTAACAGAATGGTTTGTATGGAAATTAAAGCGATTTAGTTGTGGCATCTAACACAAATGCAAATTCTATGCTCTACGTAAAATAAGAACAACAAATCAATTGATTACATTTTTATAAACAAAATAAAGTTTATTCTTCGAATAAAATTCATTTCTCTCTCTCGCTCTGTCTATATATATATATATATTATATATATATATATATTTTTTTTTTTCTCAAATGAAAAAAAGAAGAAATTAGCTCAATCGGGCAAATTGACCGTCTAATATCTTGCTTACAATCTATAAATTCATAATAGGGCCAAACCAAATATGCTCTAATGACACTTGCTTCAAATGGCTCAACACTGATTTAATCCAATTAATCAAGCTTTAAGCTTAAAGCTCATCTATCTTCCGCCTCGCTTTACTATGGCTGAGCTTTGTTCTACATTTGTTTTGTATTTCAATTATTTATAATTTAAGCTTTCAGTTCTCTTACTTTCAGCGAATGTTAAATATGCTCTTTAAACAATATAGTAAAAAAAAATAAGTCCAGCTTAAAATAATTGGGTTTCTTTTGAGATCTCATTTGAATTCGTTTCACTTAAATTCGCATCAGCTAAGCTGGGAAAAAGCTTTAAGCTTTTGTAAGGCATGGATTTTTTTGACTTGTAAACTATTTCGTTTTAACTTTAATCCATTTACCTAATTCAACTAAACAACTGAAACTGTTATTCAAGATTAAAAACGTAAATCAAATACTAAAGAAAGTTTGGCTTGAAACCTATAATTAAGCTTAAGGCCTTGCTGTTGGACTAATCCTCTTTCAACTTAAACAGTTATACGACTTTCAGCAAGTGTCATTATATCATATTTTCTGCAATCTTTGGTTTCGTTTGATCGTGATTACATAACAGCCTACTAGGAACTAAATATATATGTATAAATATTGATGCATATGTAGGGTAGATGTGGAATAGTGTTGGTTAACTACACAACAAGTTTTAGATTTGTGTGTGTGTGTGTGTTGATTAGGGCGTGTGCAACTGTGCATAGAGTATTGGAAATGAGGTATAAGAATTGAAGAAATTTGATTACAAACTAAATAGTTGAAACTTTAACCATGGCTAATTTCTTTGGATTATTCGTTGTTAGTTGACGGGCAGCCAAAAAAGAAACAAAAATATTTCAAAGAAACAAACAAACAATTTCCAACATTGGAGTCCAGCTTAGAACTGTATTAGATCACCTTCAAAGGGCGCCTCTGCCGTTGCGCTTGACGCCGACGCCGGCCAGGAGTCGGGAAACATGTTAGTTGGCAACGGCAGACCCTGATCAATGCGATTGCCCATGACTGTGCCGGTACCGGTCCCGATGCCGATGCCGATGGCGGCGGCTGCCGTCCGCTTGGCCGCTGTGGCCGCCGCAATCTGTTCCTCCAGCTGTTTGATTTGCAGGTCGATCTGTTGATGGGAGCACGCCTCGATGCTGCGCACCCAGTCAAGACGATCCGCTGCACTGTGCGTCACGATGCGTTGCGAGGGGCTGTCCTTAAAGTCTACAATGCAAATCTTGTCTGTGATTAGTTGTGCAACTTACGCTACGTAACGCATGCTGCAGCTTACCTAGATCAAACACGTAGCCCTCCAGCTCGGGCTGCTCATGGTGTATGCGTGGGCGACAGTCCTGCAGCACCAGTACGCCAGCGACCGAGGATTTTGGATTCTTGTCCTTCAGATAGAACAGCAAATTCCCGCGCAGCTTGCACCAGCATTCCAGCTTAACTGTATTTGGAGGCGCAGGAGCGCAAGAGAGAAATGGCAAAAGTGCATAAGCAAAAAGGTGGTGGTGAAGGTGGAGGTGGAGGTGGAGGTGGAGGTGAGTGGGGTGAAGAGCGTGGAATAGCGACTGATCTATGGTGGGAAGTTTCAGTGTGTTGAGTGTGGGTGTGTTGAGTGTGGGTGTGTTGAGTGTTGGTGTCTGTGTGTGTGTGGGTGATAAGCATAAAACAAAAGTAATAAATGGACAAGGAACCCGCAAGTGTAGCCAAAAATAAACATGTGGTATGTGCGTGTGTGTGTGTGTGGGGGGGGGGGTAATTGTTAATTAAGACGCGCTTGCACTCACCATCGGTGCGCCAGAAAATGCCCTCCTGGCGCTCAGTTATAATCAGCAGACCCTCCTTGTCGAATCTGGTTGATGAATTGGTCGCCAAGCTAGCCAGCTCCGATCTATTAAAGCGCATGCTTAATGCCTAACTGGAAGCGATGCGTTCACAATGGGCAACTGGCGACGTTGCTAATTCTGGGCTTGTGTGCGGCGACAGCTGTTGGCAATTGTAATTGAGATATTATGCGTTTGTTTATATCAAATTGCGGCTATTAAACGTATTTAATGACAATAAGCGTTTGTGTTCTCTGGAAAAACTGAAGGCTGACAGCGCAACACACACTTCGCACACGCACACGCACACACACACACACACACACACACACACACACACACACAATTTGATTTAATTATAAAAATGGCTTGCCTCAAGCCGTGTCCAAATGCGGGCATCTAATAGGCGGGCGGGCACACCTTATAATAACTGTAGTTGCACGTTTAATAATTCAATAAATAAGCAGCGAAAACGGCTAAGACGAAAACGTTGAAGAAGAAAGGAAGGGCCAGGGCCAGGGCGAGGGCAAGGGCGCGGGCATTGCATGTACTGGCAGGTGCCGCACGTTTATGTTATGTGGAAGATGTACATACCTTCTCTCCACTCTTCACTAGGCAGCTTTGCTTCTCTGTCGCGCTCTCTCCCTCTCTCTCTCTCTGTCTAGCACACACACTCAAAGTAGCACAGCTGACGTTGACAACAGCATCCCTGGCTAAGCGGCGCTTCTGGACCAGCACAAAATTTCGTATACTCAGCACGTTGACCTGAACTTGGGCAGCAGCCGTTTACAACAACAATATTTGGCAATTGCACTGCTTTTGTTGACTGCACAGCTGGCGACGCTTCGATAGCGTTATCAATTGGCGTATGCATTGACAGCCGCACTCCTGTTATCGGTTTCCTGTCGTAATTGCTTTCGTTTTGAATTTGTTGAATGTATTCACATAATTGCTTTAGTATTGAAAATTTACAATTTTTGTCTTGGCATTCTTAAATCTTGTATTGATTGTTCTTCGAATTTATTCTGTGCATTGAATAAATTCAATGTTGCTGTTAACACTTCTGTTAAGCCACTGTTATGGCCAGATGTTTGCTGACAGGGCTGGCGATACTCATATTTATTTTAGTTCACGATTAAATAGCTCGATAGCAGAACTGTCACAGTTTCTCGTATGAAAATAATGTGATATGCATTGCTAATTACCTGAATTTATCCGTATATATAAACTGGAATTTTTATATAGCAATTAATTGAAACTTATTTTTTATTACATTCATGTCGGCTAAAAAAAACAACTTGCGAGTGGTTTATTCGCTTCGCAATAGTTATTCTCAAGATTAATTCATACATCAAACTTATATAAAAACTAATTTAACTTAAGATAATATAATATTGGTAACCAATTTCGTAAATAGGATCATATGTATGTTTTATTTTTCAGATGCTTCACAAGCTTAACATTATGTTAATTAACGGTTTTCTGATGAGAATGTTACGAATTGAGCACGTAATTAATTAGAAATGAAAATTTGTAAGCGTGCGAAATTTTTGTTGTGTGAAAATATATATGTCTTATCATATTTGTATCGATTTTATCGGAATTGGTAATATATAACAGCGCAGGGTGTAATTATTGTAGTCATAAAATGAGCGGCTGTTAGATTTGTTCATTTTTGGTATACATATAAATCAGCTTCGAAGGTTGCTATTACTTTATGTCGCTCAATTATTTGTTTTCGATATTACATATTTTATAAAGAAAATTAGAGGTAAGTCTTGTAAATTTGTCTTTATGTAGACTTCAATAGGATCAGATTGATCGATCGTATTGTTGATTAATCGATAGTACTTGCATCACAGTGGATCAAGTTCTTACTCGCAGCCAACTTAACGCGATTGACGTATGCGTTCGCAGCCAACTTAGCGCGCAAAACAGCTGTTCGTGTGGTGAATACGAATCGCCGATACTGTTTCACATTCGTAAAATGGCGTCGGAGGTAGCGGTTGAACAACAAGACCAAGAATTTGTAAGTGTACAAAATGAGAATTGTTGAACCAATTGGATAGATACATATATGCTAGTAACAAAATGACACACGCCCTAAAACAGTGCAAAATGATGTGTGTAAATGCAGCAGAGCAACAATAAACAACGACACGAATTGCGTGCGTGTTCTCAACTGTGCGTGTGTGTCTGTGGGTGTGCGTGCACTCGTTTGTGTGTGTGTGTGTAGTGTATTAAGCGTGTATTGCAATGTGTTTCATCAAAATCTGTTGCGGTGTTCGGCGATTGCAAAAAACTGTGTACATTCTTAAATGTGTGTGTGTGTGTGTGTGAAATATGCTAGCACGTGCTATTTACAAATAAAAATCACAACAGCGGGGCCCACGATGCAAAGCAATACATTCCTTTACAGTCGCCCACTGTGCAATCGGTGTTATCAGACAATAACAACACAACCAAAAAAACAAAAACAACTCGCGTGGGGAAGTGGAAGCTAAAGTGTGCGTTTGTTGTGTGAGTGTGTGCGTGTGCGTGTATGTGTGTGTGTGTGTGTTTGTGCTTGTATTGCTTTGCTTTGCGTGGTGTAGCAAGTGGTTGCAACAACAAACGCCACACGTTCATGCCGTTGATCTTGCTCTCTCACTCTGTTACGCCGTGGTAAATCGTTGCTGTTATTATCGCTGTTAATTTCTCGCTCGCGCTGCATTTAGTAGGGAAAGTGATTTCCGTTGGCTGCACTTTTGGTTGTTGTTGTTGTTGCTGCTCTTGCATTTTACACTGCCTGTTAGATGATGAGCGCTCGCCAAACCAGTTTACAGTTAGTGCAAATCTATACAGATCTCTGGTCCTCTTGCCCGTCTTCCCCCCTCCCCTGTGTTCCCTGCACCCGCTCGCTTGCATGCTCAAAATAGACTTCCTCCAGCTGACGCAGAGTTCATTGTTTGCTTAATCGCATCAGCGACGAGCAGAGGCGCCAGTTATTGTAACTGTAATGGGCAGTGTTGCCGACCTTGCACGAAGCTGCTTGAAATTCCAACGTGCACACGATATTCACACCATAGCCACACACACATGCGCACACACACACACACACATGCGCATACATGTAGCCCTACCTGGTCCAGGGCAGACAAACTTTTGTGTATTATTGATGCGCATTTTGTTTATATATTGTTTACCTATTTTCCGAAGGCGCCAATGCGTCCATTTAGGTTCTGTTCCATTGAAGTGCCTTCAATTGAATCCGTTTCGCCGGAATTTTGGTGATTTTTTTATTTTGTTATTTTAATCTGCCCAATTTCAAAGTAAAATCTACGCAATTTTCCACTTATTTGCGAATTTGTTTAGAGCGCATTTCATTCATTCATTTATTCCCCAGCCAATTTGTTTATCTACTCGCCTGTGTGTGTACATATGTATATACTCTACCACACGCAGTGTATATGCATACATATATTAAGTTTATCTTCAAGTTAAATGTTGATCTTTTGAAATACGCTCAGCATTTGCACTCGATAGGTTGGATTTATTCTAATATACATGCATATATCCCTATTGGAACAGTCAGTTGAGTCGTTCATTAAAAATGGGTAAAAAGGGTAAAAAGGTATTTGTGCAAATGTATGTGACAGGCAGAAGGAAGCCTCTGCGACCCCTTAAAATATATATATTCTTGATCAGCATTAACAGCCGAGTCGATCTAGCCATGTCCCTCCGTCCGTCTGTATGACCTCAAGGATCTCAGAACCTTTAAGAGCTAGAGAAGTTTTGGCTGTAGGTCCTCCTAGTGTCCGCGCAGATCGAGTTTGTTTCCGATATTCGATAACGTGCCCCGTTTCCAAGTAATCGATAAAAATCTATATCGAAATCCTGTTTTTTGAGCAATTTTGGCAAATATTAAGAGCTAGAGTCGCCAAACTTGACATTAAGCTTCTAGAATAGTGCACATATTTGGTGAAGAAGAAGAGGATTCAGGGTATCCCGTAGTCGGGAGCTCCCGACTAGAACCTCTTACTTGTTGTATTAACAATTGTATGTAGATCAGCATAGTCAAGACATAATAGTAGTTTTTTTCTGGTTTATAACATTTAAATAATAGCATAATATTATAAACAATCGTTTAAAATCGTTGACATATTTTCTTAGTTCATTGGAAGTTTTTTTTGCTGCTACTTTCACCCATTCCGAAAAGTATGAAATATGTTTTAAATACATTTTTGAATATAATTTTGAACCTGATCGGAAAACAAACAAGTTTCATACAACTGTTTTCCTTTAGATTTCCAGAAGGCGTTTAACCCCTTGATTTCTTTTTTAAGGGAATGTGTTTATATTAGTTAAATTTTTGTATATATATATATGTGTGTGTTTTAGAAGCTAAGTTCTGTTTTAGAGCTAGACGCAATGGTAAAGGGTATCTTTCGAGTCGAGCACTCTAAATTCCATATTTGTATACCCTGCGATCTCAAGCTGTCTTCTAAAATTGAGGTACGTCTATTTTTTGTCAGTATGATCGTACGTTTATGCAACATAGGTTAGTATTTAAGTTTTTGAATCAAAACATTTAATTAACTCCTTTTTTTTTACAAATGTTACCAATTCAGAATACTCTTTTGCTACACATGGTTGTATTTATCAGGGTTGCAAGCTTCAAAAGTTGTCCAGCGACTTTTTATAGGTATGGTTTTATAAAATCCAAATATCCAGGGCCTAGTTCAAGCTTTGGTCAAATCCAGGGCATAAATACTTAGAAAAATATTGACAGAATTCGCTCAAAAGTTTTGTATTTTCATGTTTTCGAAAAGAAATATGGTTCCCTTTTTAAAAATTGAGAAGTTCCGAGCATGAACCAGTTCGGTTGTTGAACACATTGAAACCGTTTTGTTTTTAAATGAAATTCGTCAGATATTTATATATTTTTGGTAAAATATATCAATAATATACCCGCACATATTACATCAAGTGGATTGTATAAGAGTTCAATAACAATATGGATATGGATATATGCACGCTTTTATATGTAGTTTGTTATTGCACAATTTGTGTATATTTTGTATGCATAATTGATTTCACTTGAACTGCAATTGCGTAGCGTATTGTTGTGTTGCATGTTCGTTAAGGCTTGCTGAATAAATCAAATTGCTCATAAAAAGAGGCAGCCCCTAGCTGTGTGTGTGCGCGCGCGTGTGTGTGTGTGTGTGTGTGTTGTTATGAAATATCTGTGTCCCATTGCATTTACTGGTTGTTTATCCTTGTGCCCGGACTCTGAACCCCAATGCTGCCACACAATGGGGCAGCCAGAAAAAGTACAATAACCTTTTTGGCACCCGGGGTGAGGGTGTGCGCAGCTAAGGGTCGTGCCGTCGTTAACTGAGGGGTGGTGGGGTTGGCGGGTGTAATGCACTTTTTATACCCCGCAGCCAGAGAAAGTAGATATAGGGGCTGACTGGTTTTGTGCGAATGCATGTTACAGACTAAAGAAAGCAAGGCATGTATGTATATATATGTATGGGACGATCTGAGCAGGAACTCCCTTCCATACATTAAGATCGATAACTATCGAGTCCTAGCAGCATATCTCAGAGATTGCGGCAACTAGAATATACACAGACTAGAAATATATCACCTTTTCTTCGGAACGTGATATAGAAGTCAAATCGTGTGTATATTGCGGCAGCTGCCAGCTGTTTACAGGGTATCTCTTCGTCTCTTTGAGTCGACTATTTTTTGTCAGCCTGTTGCTGCGACCACTTTTCATTTCGCTTGCCTTTTGCTGCGGCTTCTGACTGATTGACTGACTGACTGACTGTTTTCCTCATTTGCGTTGATTAAGCCCTCGAGCTGCTTTCAGATAACAACAATAAGTTTTATGAAAGGCACAAATAAAATTCATATTTCCATATACTTATATATATTTATTCCATCAACAGCCCGACTGCCAAATACTCTGTTCACAGCGTAACAGTAGCTAAAAGGCAAAGAGCTTAAAACTGAGACTATAAAAATGATAGTTTATTAACTCTATAAATTTGCGGGTGTGGAAAGTAATGCAAATGTAATTGCATCAAGGCTGCAAATCAGTTTTGAACCGAGTCGGTTCGAGTCGAGAATTCCAATTAATGTCTTACTATGAACCGAACCAGTTGCTGGAACCAGTTTACTAGAGTCTAACTAGATTTCTTCTTCATTTCTTCAAAACTTCAAATAAAAAAAAGGTTTACTTGTGCCAGAGTTTTGGCAAACAAAATTTGACAAATGAGGGCTTCAAGCAGCTTCGAGAAAAGAACCTTAAGGCAGGCAGCTGGTTCAATGTACGAACCGAAACCTGCGACATCACTTTTGCTGATATGCAGCCCTGGTTTTAACCTTACTGAAACTACGCAAATTGCATGTCGTGCCAAATCCCGTATACTCTGTTCCACTAAATGAACAGAGTATAAACAAAATGCGATGTGCAGCAAACACACACACACACATGCTTGAGTGTGTGGTTGTGTGTGTCTTTGTGTGTGTGTAGTTGAAAATAGGTCAGCACGCTGCGGCCGTCGCTATCACACACACACACACACACTCACACACACTGTGAAGGCAGCAAAATGGAACAGCAACCACCCGACCAAAGCGCAGGCCCCCCCTCCGCCCGCCCCCTCTGCTGACGCCCCTGTTGCTGGGCCTTAAACCCCAAGCCAAAAAAGCGGAGCCCCATTCCGGGTCTGTCTGGGGGCTAAGACGCTGCGCTCAGCACTCAGCACTCCGCGCCCATCGCCCAGGGCCTAAATGCTTAGTCACTCCACCTAGACGAAGTATTCAAAAATAAACAAGCGAAATTGAACCAAAATGCAAACAACGTACACTACAACGAATACCGCAATACTCTACAGTCCGCATACAAATTGGTCAAAGCAATAGATATAAATTGATTTTAAGAGGAAATTCGTTAAATATTTGAATTAAACAGAATTTCAGTGAAAGTCTTGTTCGAATTCCTTGTTAAATACGTATTGTTATTCGCTTGCTTAAAGC